ACATACATACATACATATATATATATATATATATATATATATATATATATATTCTCTTCTCCCCTCCCAGCTCACATAGAAAGCAAAGGTATCCATAATGAAAAGCTCCTGAGAACTTGTTATTTACAATTTTATAGTATTGCCAGCTTTACAGTTGGATTTATTTTATTTTTTTTAGTGTGCTAGGTCAGACTATGTAGGAGTAGATTGTACATTGTACAGACTATGCAGGAGGAAGGAGAGAGGGATGACAAGCCGATTGAGACAATGGTGGGATTAAAAAAAAATGCTACCAGTTCTGTGAGCATGGCTTGGAGGGCGGGGCATGGCTTGGTGGGTGTGGCTTGGTGGCAAGGGAAGAATATTGTAAAATATCCATTCTCTCCCCACTCCAGGGGAAGGTTACTGCAAAATCCCCATTTCCTCCTGATCAGCTGGGACTCGGGAGGCAGAGAATAGATGAGGGCAGGGCCAATCGGAGGTGGTATTTATTGGTTCTCTGAACTACTCAAAATTTCTGCTACTGGTTCTCCAGAACTGGTCAGAACCTGCTGAATACCACCTCTGGACTGAGAAAATCCATTTCAAATAATAAAATAGATGTTTCTATTTTGTAGGATTTGTAATCCCTTTATGATGAGAACAATTCAAATTAACATCGTAATTTGATAGTGTTATACCTTCCTTATTCTATTTCTCTTGATTTCTTGCAATTTTGCATTATTCCTTCCTGCTTGGTTTATAATATCATGTACAGTATTATCTTTTTCCTGATCAAGGGGATTGGTGTTTGAATAGCTGCCTGATTGACAATCATTCTGGGCACAGATTTATAATACAAGATGGTCCAGAAAGCCATGTCTATAAATTTGTGCCTTTTAAAAAGGTAAATGATGAACTGAATTCCTGGTGACCATATGAATATATAAATGTTTTATTAATATTTAAATATATGCTGCCTGATCCTTAAAAACTCTGGATGTCAGTGTAGGCTTTTTTGGCATCACTATAGAAGTAGTTGTGGTTGTTTTCCTTTGCTTTTTTTATTGTTTGTTTATCAAGTCAGTGCTGACTCCTATGCAGGACTAGATCCTGCAATTTCCCTGGTAGCATTTTTGGAAGAGGATTGCCATTGCTTTCTTCCTAGGACCAAAAGAAAGTGGCTAGCCCAAAGTTTCCCAACTGATTTTGTGTCTAAGGAAAACATGCATGGTCCTTTGGGTTTCTAGACAGATGTCATAACTATCACACCAAATTCATGGGTTTATTACTACATTTTCAGGATTTTTTAAAATATTCCAATCTGGGCTAAAGTGTCGCCACGATATTCCCTGGTGGTCTCTTGTCCAATGTTTAAATTTGACTCGATTTAATTTTTAAACTCCTTAAAAGGCCAACCAGATGCTGCCATCCATTGAGACATTGACACATTAAAAAGTCTTGAAAAAGAAAACATCCAACAGACCAGAATTAACAGATCTGCCAAAAACAAAATAAGAGCCATATTTATATGACTTTCTGATTGTGTGAATTCACAATGCAGTACATTTTAATCTAGCCAAGTAACTTGGCTTTTCAGAACACACTATTCAATGAAAAAACCAAAATTTATCAAGACTGATGTATTGTAGTGAGTCCATGGGTTAAAGT